GCCAGCCAGCCCCATTCATTCATTCATTCACCGATTCATTCATTCCGTCAGCGAGCTCATTCAATAAACGGCCGTCGAACTCCTACTAAGGGCCAGGCTCTGCTAGGCGGTCACCGGTTCCCGTGACCGCATCGTGTCCACGCCGGCCACAAACCCCGAGACCTGGAGAAAGGGCTCTCACCCCTCCAGGGGATCGGCACCTGAGCGAGCGGCTGCCGCCCCTGTCGGCGCACATTGGTGGGGGTGAAGTCTGGGAAGGGAGCGCGGGCTCTTTAAGGAAGCTTCCCACGCCAAGTGGTGACAGGCGCCGAGTGAAGTGCCACGTGACTTTTCCTCTGCGACGGGTGGGAGAGGATGCGCTTCTTTGTAATTGGCGTTCCTGCGCCTACCGTCTTCTCAAACGACCAATCCACTCCCGCGGTGGGCGGGCGCACGCCGCGTAGATGGCCAATCGCGGCTCAGGGGACGGTGAGTGAGGAGGCGGGGCCAGCCGCCGGCTCCACCCCGTGCGGGAAGTGGGCGGGGCCTCCACGGACGCCGTGTTTGGGCTCGGGCAGGCGGGGCGGAGGAGGTGAATGGAGCCGCAGGTAGCGCTGGAACAAAGCGCTGGTCACCGGCGGCGCGCGTGCGCAGGACCTGCTGCGCTTTCCCCACCGAGCCGGGGTAGATTTCCCGGCGAGTGGGGTGGGGGATCCCGTTGCTGGACCGTGAGGTTCACCTGGTCAGTTTGCTGCCCGCATGGGGTGTCACACGTCATTGGGGCTCCCCCGCCCCCAGCGAGTTAGCTCTGACCCATCAAGCACAGAGGCAGAGGGCGTTGGGGGAGGTTGGGGAACCTTAGCTGGTGACAAGATTCGCAAAAGGCCCCTGGCACCTGGAAGAGTTGAGTATTCAGCTAATAACCGCTTCCACCCGAAAGGTTTTTATCCCAAGCCATGAAACTGTGCCCCAAAGGAGCGGGGGCCTCTTTTCCCCAAGACAGACCACAGAAGTCCCGCCAAAAAAAGGTCCATGGTCTGGATAACGGGATGTCCAGAGAGGGCTCTGCCCAGGGTCACCCAGAGAGGGTTCTGCCCAGGGTCACCGCCCTGGGGGCTATGAACAGAAATTCTTCCCTGGGCTCCCAGAGCCCAGGGGAGAATTTCCGGGTCCTGAGGCCCAGGTTCTGCCGTGCTGCTTGCTGGCCCTGGGAGTCCTCGGGTGGCAGAGAAAGTTAAGCCCTGGGCTATGGAACCCATTCTCAGACAGGCACCCCGCAGAGCAGGCCTGGCCAGTCCCCAGCCTTGACCACGTGGAGCTGGTCCCTCTGCTGGTGACTAAGGCCAGCTGTTTGCTGACCTGTGTGCCCTGCGGGCCTCTGTTTCCCCACTGCAGCAGAGGCTCATCTGGACCAAACCCAGCCCATCCATCACAGAAATCCACTCAGCCGGGAAGGCAGCTTCTCGGATAGCAGGCCCTTGGCCAGCAGCCCAGGAGCATTTGTCAGGGACAGAAGCCTCAGACACACAGGCCCAGAGTCAGGCAAGAAGCTGCCAGACCTGGCCCTGCACAGACCTGCCTGCACCTGTGGTCCCTTCCTCCAGGATACAGGGGAGGGGGTGACTAAGCAACGGGTATCCCGGGCAGAACCAGAGTCAGGGGTGGGGGGCGGGGGCTCAGGGTCAAAGGCATTCCTCCTCAGCAAGAATGAGGCCCTTCCCTCACCTGCAGCCCCCTGGCAGGTGCCCAGTCTCCAGGTTCCCCACAGGGTAAGGTAGGGTGACCGGAAGGGAAGCCCCCAGGACAGATCTGAGCAAATCCACCAGAGCCCAAGACAGGAAGAGCTGGTCTCAGGTGGGGTTGAGTTTGCGTGCACTTCTCCAGGGCTACACCTCTCTCTCTAACCTGCCAGGATTAATAGCCCCCGCCACACACACACACATTTGGACCCCACCCTCCAGATCCTGGTCTAGGCTTCTGAGACCCCAGCCTCCCTTTTTGCTCTGGTCACTCTCAGTGATTGTTCCACATACCACCCACCCCCTGCCCCCTCTGGAGGCCCCACGGCAACCCCCTCTTCCCCCTCCTGTCCCTATCCCACCTCAGAAAACCACCACCTCCACTCCCTCAGGTGGGGTGCCAGGCTAGAGCCCCGCAGGCAAATTAGGATCGGCCTTCCCTCTCTGCCCACATCCAGCCCAAGAATCCCACAGGGAAGGAGGCTTCCTGGCAGAACCGTTTGCTGTTTCTCTGGGAGAAGCGGCTGGGCACGCCTGGCACACGCATAGCCACAAGGGCAGCAGAAGCAACTTGGAAATGGTCTCCACACTCGTGCACGCAGCTGCACGCAGCTGCGCAGACACAGAGCCGTGAGCAGGGGCAGACATGCATCACACGCATTCAGCTACAGGCTCACAGCGAGACCCACCTCTGGGCTCTTGTCACTTCCAACGGGGGCGTCCAGACCCAGGTACCCCCAGAGAGGTTGTTATCAGGTTGGTGGGACCCACACTCCTCTCCCCCACTGGTTCTCCAGTCGAGGCCCAGTGGGCTCACCTTGACCCACTGGATGCTGCTGGGAGCTGGGCAGTGACAAGTTCTAGGACAAGAGGCAGGCCACCACCCCTGCTTCTTAACCCTGGGGGCTGCCAGGGCCTGGTCAATAGTGGAATGCAGGGGAAGCTGTTGCCCAGGGCAGCTCTGGCACTAGGCGCTGCCTGCCCAGGTGTGCAGGGCAGAAGGGGTGAGGAGCAAGCAGCCCTAGCAGGAGAGCGGGTCCTGCCCAGGAAAGTTGGAGAACAAGCCGGGGCAGGACTGAAGGAAGCCTGGGAGATCTGGGGAATTCCCAGGCTCTAGGAGAAGACAGTTGGGAAAGGGAAGGAGAGAGAGGCCAGGCCTCAGTGGGAGTCTCTCCCTCCCTCGCTCCCCTCCACCCTGGGTCAGGGTGTGCAGGCAATGAAGATGGGACTCAGGTTCACACCTACCTCCCCATGTGGACTCTCCTGTAGCCACTCACCCACTCGGGACCTTTCCTACCTACATCCCAGACCGCTGGCGCCTGCCTGAGGATGGGAAATAGAGGACTCACTTTCACTGCTCCCCCTTGCTTGGTCCCAGGCAGGCAGTGCTAATCAATCACAGCACGTTTTTCTGGCTGAGCCATCCCATGGCTTTAAAACCCCACCATGCAAGTGCCTGTGAACAGATGAATGGACAAAGTGTGGTCCATATGTACAATGGAATAGTATTCACCCTTAAAGAGAAATAAGGAGCCCCGATGACCTAGTGGTTATGCATTGGGCTGCCACCCACAAGGTCAGCAGTTCAAAACCCCCAGCTGCTCCACAGGAGAAAGACAGGCCTTTCTACTCCCATAAAGATAGGGATATAGGTCTATGTACTGTATGTTAATACCAAGGTAGCAGATGGACATTGGGCCTCGACTCAAGTCCTCCCTCAACTCAAGAACACTTTGTTCTAATAACCTGGCACTCTGCGATGCTCACCTTCCTGACACAATTGCTAAAGACAAAGCAGGTGCATAAGCAAATGTAGTGACAAAAGCTGATGGTGCCCGGCTATCAAAAGATATAGTGTCTGGGGACTTAAAGGCTTGAAGTTAAACAAGCGGCCATTTAGCAGGGAAGCAACAAAGCCCACGTGGAAGAAGCCTGTGTGATCACAAGGTGTTGATGGGATCAGGCATCAGAAGACCCCAAACAATCATATCAATGTCAACAAGGGGGGCTGGAGTGGAGACCCAAAGCCCGTCTGTAGACAACTGGACATCCCTTCACAGAAGGGTCACAAGGAAGGGACAAGCTAGCCAAGGTGCAGTATAGCACCCACAAAACATACAACATTCCTCTAGTTCTTTAATGCTCTCCACCCCCCCCCATCCCCCATCATGACCCCAGTTCTACCTTACAAATCCGGCTAGACCAGAGCATGTATCATGGTACAGATAAGAGCTCTCAACACACAGAATCCAGGACAGATAAATCCCTCAGGAACAATAATGGGAGTAGCGATACCATGGAGTTAGGGGGAGGGAGGGGCTGAAGGGGGAGAAAGAGGAAACCAATCACAATGATCAATGTGTAACACTCCCCCAGGGGAACGAACAGCAGAAACGTGGGTGGAGGGAGACAGCAGACAGCATAATATAGGAAAATAATAACAATGTTTCATTTATCAAGGGGTCACGAGGGTGGAGGAGTGGAGCTGATACCAAGGGCTCAAGTAGAAAGAAAATGTTTTTAAAATGATGAAGGCGCTAAGCGAGTGAGGGGGCCCTGAAACCTGGGGGTGGTCGCGGTCCCCGCCTGTGGCTCTATGGGGGTGCAGAAAGTGTGTTCTGGTGCACTGAGCACTTTGGGGAAGGGAGAGAGGCTTGGAGCTAATGGAGTGAGACTAGCACCATAGATGCCCGCTTTGAATGTGGAGGTCCACCGTTTATGGCAACAACAAAAAACGTTTTATTGTGACTACTGCGATACTTACCTCACCCATGACTCTCCATCTGTGAGGAAGACACAGTGCAGTGGGAGGAAACACAAAGCGAATGTGAAAGTCTGCTATCAGAAACGGATGGAAGAGCAGGCTCAGAGCCGGATGGACAAAACAACGACTGCATTTCAACCAGGAAAGATACCTCCGACCCCTTCTCTGCTCCTCCTCCAGCAGGGGCGATGATCCCGCCTCCCCCCAGTCTCCCGGGTCCTCCTCGCCCTGGATGTGATGCCGGCACCCCACATGGGGGGACCACCCATGATGCCAATGATGGGCCCTCCTCCTCCTGGAATGATGCCAGTGGGACCCGCTCCTGGAATGAGGCCACCCATGGGTGGCCACATGCCAATGAGGCCTGGGCCCCCAATGATGCGGCCCCCAGCCCGTCCTACGATGGTGCCCACTCGGCCAGGAATGACTCCACCAGACAGATAAGGGCAGAGCACAGCCTCTTTGTATCGCTTCCTCTTCCTCGAACCCCTTCACCCGGAGACCTGGTGCCACGACTCTGGATGTTTTCCAACAGCACAACATGGAAGACCTGCTCCCCCTTTCTCTCAAAAAGGGAATCGTTTTTGGGGTGGAGTAGTGGACAAAAAGCAGAACAAAATGATTTTTGTTTGTGACACGTGAAAATGAAATTAACTTTTAGTTTAAAAAAATGATGAAGGCAACAGATGTACAAATGTGGTTGACACAATTTATGGTTGTGAGAGCCCCCAGTGAAAATGATGTAGATATTAAAAAAAGAGAGCATTACAGTCTCGGATGCCACCCTGTCCTGTAGGGTCCTGTGAGTCAGCCTTGACCCAACGACAGTGCTTTTTAAAAAGGGAAATAAAGTCCTGACACGTGCCGCAACACGGATGAACCTGGAAAACATGCCAAGTGAACCAATTCAGACCCATTCAGGACAAATATTCCCACTCTTAGGAAAGACCTGGAAGAGGCAAATGCATGGAAGCCAAGGTCATTAGTGCTTGCAGGGCCTAGAGGGTGGACAGAAAGGGGCGGGTCTGGGGTAAGCCTGCAGGAGTGGGGAATCCAAGGCCCACAAAATCCCCAACTCTAGCTCCCCTCCCCTCCTCCCCAGAGAGCAGCAGTCCCAGCGTCACCCCAGGGGCGAGTGGATTAAATGTCTGACCAGGGTGGGCTGTGAGTGATGTTATCAGTGTCCAAATGGGCCTTGACCACCCCCACCCCATCCCCCCCCCACCCCACCCCCACCCCGCCAAAAAAAAAGAAGATTCCTCATTGCTGGCTGAC